AGCCAGGCTGGACGAGACAACACCTCTGCCTGTACGCCGATGATTCACATCTACGTTTTCGCTTTGATTCCTTCACAGGCTTCGAGCAGGCCATGGACGAAGTCCGAATTGTCTTTCATGCTTCAGGCAACTAAGTCTACGGATCAACATGGAGAAGACCAAAGCCATCCTGAAAATGGTCGGCACCTTGAAGCACCGCATTAAAAAGGAATACATTCGGAAAACCACCACTGCTCGCAGGCTACTGCTTTGCCCTCGTGACCCAGAACGATGGCTCCCTCTGGTGGACCACACGGAGTACTTAGGGATGATTATCTCCTACGACGGATTTGAGCAGCAGTCTCTGAAGCACCGGCTTACTAAGGCTCATAACCGACGATGGGCACTGGCCTCTGTACTGCACTCACACAGGCTCCGCATCCCGTACAAGTTGAATATTTGGAGAAGCTGTGTCTACTCCACTATGACCTATGGAGTGGCGCATTGTGGATTGTCAGGAGCACAGGTTGGGGAACTCCAAAAGGCCGTTATGAAGCACACCCGGGCCATCATCTCCAACCAGGCCTTCCTCACGGGTGACACACACGAATCAGTCATGCAAAGATTCAGTATTCCCAAAGTGCAGGACGATCTTCGGAACGAGCTCATCCGCACGACCCAGGCACAAATCAACTCGAGCGACTGGATGTACAATTCCTACTGGCAAGAGCACCTACAACGCAGGCTGGACCAGAACATCCCGGAGCCGGACTCTGACCTGGATGAGCGCCATGAGTGGGCCTGCCCCTTCTGTGAGAGTCTTTTTCCCACGCAAGCAGCCCTTAAAGTGCATGCTCGCAGAACACATCAACATGTCGACACCGAGCCTGTGGTCTTCAGCCGCGTAGAACATGCACTTAATGGTCTGCCTACATGCAGATTTTGCAACAAGAATTTCAGTCGGTGGCAGACCCTGGCACAGCACATCACCCAAAATCGCTGTACCAAATATCTTCCTTCACGGGACATCCACTCAATGGAGTCGGCGCCACAAGAGAACAGCCCTCAGGCATCTGTAGCTGAGCCTCAACCACAACAACCACCACCAGCTCAGCCGATATGCCAGCAAGAAACGGTTGTTCGTGCAGCCTGCAAGGGTCTGAACTCCTTCATCAAGTGTAAGGATATCACTGCCAGGCTCCAGCAAACATGTGCTCAATGTGGACAGTGGGTGGCATCTCATCGCACTATGAAGAGACACTACCAGTACACACACCCGGAAGTGATACAGCAACTGGGTAGCAAAGCCGCCTCCCTCATACAACGTACAGCTACAGCCTGCCCCACGTGCCATTTCTGTCATGTTCGGTGCAAGGACTGGAGGGAGCACATTCACAAGTGTACGGTCATATGGCAGTGTGCTATTCTCTGTCTACAACAGGACGGGAGAGGCGGACATGGACGAGTTCTTCGGCCCGTTGCACACGGGGAACCCGGGGACCTTGCATCTTCTACAGCAACCCAACAAACGCCGCAGACCACCAGCAGGAAGCTTCAGACAGGAACCACAACAACCAGACTTACTGCTTACTTTAGCAAGGCAAGTGGTGAAACAAGAGGAGGAGATCAAGCTGCTGAAGCAGGATCACAGTCTGGTACTGTTCTTTCGGCCGGGGGAACACACGATGCTGGGATTTCTGTACAAGACTGCAAAGGAGTTCAAGGTCAAGCAGGAAGCCAACCCCCAGTGGACCCCAGGGCAGCAGCCTCTAAAAGCAGTGATGGCCCTGGCTCTGTTCACAGAATTGGGCAATCGCCTACAATCAGTGTGCCAGGACCAGGCAAAGGCTACAAGGGCCAAGGAGCTTGGATGGAGGGACCCCACGGTGGGGTGGAAGTATCAGCGATGGAACGTGCAGCTAAAGGCCCTGGAGGAGGACACCAGTCGTCCCCCCTTGACGGACAAGGAAGTGGCTGTGCACATTCAAAAGCTCTGCCAGCCCCTCGGTCAGGATGTCGTGCACCGGTTCCACTGCACGAGGAAGCTGCCGGAGACCAGCGACTCCCCGCAACATTCCAGATGGACCTCTCTGTGCGAACACCAGCAGCTTTGGAGGCCTGGGGAGCACTGTTGGCTCTGCAGGGCAGCACGGGGCTGCAACTGGGGGGCTTCGCTTGCAAGAGGGAATCCCTCAAGCCGAGCCCGGCCGTGGCGAAGCTCAAGGATATGCTGCGAGGACGCTGAGGCTCATTCTCGTCAACCGTGGTAACGCGTGCTACATGAACACAGTTGTGCAGGTGATTCTATGGTTGCTCGAGGGGAACCCGAACTTCCTGGAGCATTTGGGGCAAGGAACACCATTCTTTCGTGCTCTACTCTGTCACGACCCCCAACACCCTAAAAACCTCCTGCAGGATATGCTGTGGCGTATGACTATTGCTGGTTGGGCCGAGAGCCACAGGCAACACGACGTTACAGAATTCTTTTCATATCTTGTGCGTAAACACAGATTTGGCATGTTGGAGGGGACGTGGCAAGCTCGGCGTGTACTCGATGATGGGGTCATGACAATCCGCGATCAGGGGTCCTGTGCTCAACCGATAATCCTTCGATTGCCGGCTGTACCACCAGGGCTTCGTCCATGTATCAAGGTGCAATCGCTGATTGACTACTGGTCAGGAGCACAGGAATGCTTGCATGCTCTGCATGTTCCACCTCCTATCCTAGTGCTACAGCTTGATCGATTTGCACAAATGCGCGGGCGTATCACGAAGCGCGAGGACGACATAGAGCCTGAGCTACGACTCGCAGTGCCGATCTTTGGAGCAGGCGACCTCGGGATCGATGTTCGATTCTATCAACTCAAAGCCACCATAACTCACCATGGCTTGCATCCTAGTACGGGACACTACACTTCCTGTCTTCTGCAGGCAGAGACGATTTGGAGTTGTGACGACAATCGATCAGCCAGCTCCTCCCGGCACTTTCCGAGTACTCATGCCAAAGGCTGCTATATGCTCTTTTACGAGCTTTGCTCTGCATTTTGATCGTATGGAGAATCACATCCAGGCCCCTATGGGGGCGGTGATTCGTCCTAGCAATGCTGTGTTTTCGAGGCAGTAATCTGCGCGCCTTAAAGGTGCCGGGCACTCGCCCGCTCTTACCAACCGCCACCAGGCGGCGACGCTCGACCGCTGTGCACAAAGCTGACAAAGCTGCTACTGCTACTGCTACTGC